TGCAACTGGACTTGACGTGTCAATTCTGATATTCTGAATTTTTTTTACATATTTAGCCTCGTTTAGGCACAATACCGCAAAACTTTGAAATATAGTAATAAAATTAATCGATAATGATAATGATTTGTTCAAAGCCGCTACTTTCAACAAAATCAAATTCTGTTAATCACTACAGTGCTCAAAATTTAAACAACTTTTTGTAACTCAAATTTTGTCACGGTAAACTTTCAATATTTTACTTTCGTTACCATAGTTTTAGATTTTTACCAAAAAAATTGCCATTAAGGGTGGGAATTTTTTTTTTTATATATAAAAGGTGCGTACTTGGTGGCGCAAAATAAGTTTTTGGCGTTGAAATGCAGCTCGCTATAGTGCGGGGGGGAAAAAAAACAACTTCAAAAATTGCTTCTCTTTACTTTTACTTTCCCCAAACCTAAGCGCACAATAATTGCTTTCCGTTCTCGGAAAAAACTGTTGTCATCAAAAGTGTTGCGAAATTTGAATGCTGGCTTTCTATTTCTTATTTTCTTTCTATTACACCTTGGCCGTTATCGCTTTACGCTGTTTTCCCTCGCCGTTTGCGTATGATTTTTTATTTTGAAAGAGAAATCAGGAGCGACAAAATATTATATAAATGTCCTTAGTTTAGTGCCGTTTGTCATTATTATCACAATATACAAGTTTTTTTATAATATTTTAAGTTCTCTTTTTATAGTTTCTAGTTGGTAACGCTGTAAAAATAAATTCAAACTAAATTTAATATTTTTACAGAAAATATGTGCATAATAAAATACGCCCAATAAGTTTTACTGTAAATCTGCATGAAATACAGAAAAAAAAACACGAAAACAAATAAAAATAAAAAATATAGTTAAACTCAAAAACAAACTCATTCAAAGGAACGCTACGAGCGTTGAGCATGCGCTGCTCAAAAATAATACGTATGTACTTACATATGTATGTATGTATGTATATACATGCGAAAAACACGTAACTCTTCAGAAGTAAGAAAAATGTCCGCAAGCTTAAAAGAATTAAATTATAAAAAAAAAATTACATACAATAACAATTAAAAATAATGTTAGTAAGAAATATACAACGCTGCAACAGAAGGTTGGCATTTTTCTGCAGCCGCCACCATACACACACCCCCACACACACACACAC